TTTTTAATAAGAATACATTTCCAGATTTATTTTGTTTTTGTTTTATTTTCAAAGGCATTGCAATCTTCCTAGAATGTGTCCTCAGCTTTTATTTTATTTTATTTTTGTTTTGGGAACTTGTGTCAAGGGCACCTAGAGCTTTGGGTAGAAGCATCCTTTTTTATATTATTGTAGAAATCCCAGTAAACAAATACATGTTTCCTCTGCACTGTGTTTAAGCGGGTGCAAAGCCTTTAACAAAGAGCATCTGCCTCATGCCACCGTAATCCCCTCTCCTGTATTGAGAGCAGTGTCAGTGTAGCCATGCTTCTCTGAAATTGTCCATGCAGGGTTGAAGCCTTAAATGTAAAAGGATCATGTTCCAGCTCCCAACATAAATAGCTCCATGGTATTTTTAGGAATGATGGGAAAAGAATGTCGTTTAAGAACTATTGCATCTTTCTTGACTCCCCACCCCACCCCCAAACACACACACGCTCCGTTTTCAGGTTTATGAAAGCAATTAGAGTCCAAATCAGTTTTATGCTGAGACATCCATTCAGTTTGGCTATAGTCCTCTTTCTCTCTCTGGGTTAATTGCAATGAAGACTATTCCCCTACATGCTTCTACTGGACTTGAAAAAAAATATTTGAGAGATAACCCATTCTCCCCCACTTTGTGTTTGAACAACCTGTGATTCATGGTGGAACAAAATTTATATGCTGTTGGCTTGAGAAACTGCTACAGAAGCTGGCCAAGCTGGCAATGGTAATCCAAGCGAGACATGGAAGATTTAAGAGGCAGGGTCAATACACTGGGGCTAAATTTATGCTTATTATTCCAGACTTGAGGGGCAGAGAAAACTGCATCCTCTCAAATAACTTCTGCAACAACTGTGTATCCTCTGTTGTGCTGCTACAACAAAAAAATAGGCAACTTAGATTTTGTTTGCATTTAATTAAAGAAGGACATCACTACAGCAGATATTTTCACATTCTGAATTACTCATGCCAATTTAGACACATCTGTGATTAAGCATTGCCCAATAAACATTGCTACCATAATGAAGTTGTGATGGAGGGGAGGAGACTCTCCAAGAAATGCGAATGTGTATGGTCTGGAAAATCCTCCTAGCGTGCAGGGTGAACTTGTGTAATGACTCTTATAAATTAACTACTGAACAGACTAGAAGATTTTACAGATTGCATAGCCGATATCCAAGATCCACACATTGCCCAGTATTACCACTGTTTACAACTGATATGGGAAAGGATATTCCCTAATGCTTTTCCTCACCTGTTTGAGGTTTCTTTGTCTACATTTCCTGCTTGATGATTTTCTTTACTACTTAAATCCACATTAAGCAGAGCACATATTCCTTTGTTTAAGACAGTACTGTTTGCCACTTCTGCTATGGTTTGGAACATGCATTAATAACATTGTACAGGGAAATCTTATAACTCCACATACAATGTTGCCACACATTTTATCAGGATAATGTTGACCAGCAAATTATGAGTTTTCAGATGATATTTCACAGGGCATACTTTGTGTAAAGATTATCAAAATAGTGTGTAGGGTGTGGACACAGAGGTACATTCTGTCACAATTACCCAAAGTGAAACTGGCCCAAGGCTTTAAATCCATACTCTTGCAAAAAGCACAAGAATTTTAATGATTACAGATGATCAGTTGACTTCAGTTTCTCATCTCATCCACAAGAAAGGATCTCCAGCAGCAGCTTCTTGGGCGTTGGTTTTGTAGTCATTCAGAACTGCTGAATTTACTGGATTGCCAGGACTACTGTTGCAATGTGTTGAGTGTTTTTTTTATGGTCTCATCCAAACCCAATTCTGGCAAAGTCACGCTCTTCTTGTTTTGAAGATAAGACACAATCACAGAACAACATGATATAGGTGCATCCGATGAAGTGAGCTGTAGCTCACGAAAGCTCGTGCTCAAATAAATTGGTTAGTCTCTAAGGTGCCACAAGTACTCCTTTTCTTTTTATGATATAGGTGCAGATCTAGAACATAAATATTGGTTTAAAGGATAGAAATAATCATATTTTTGTCCTGTAATTGCATGGTATTATCCCACTACAATTAGATAATCACAGTTATGTTATACGTAAGAAGTAGGGTTGTCGATTAATCGCAGTTAAGTCACATGATTAACTCAAAAAAATTAATTCTGATTAAAAAAATTAATTGCAGTTTTAATCACACTGTTAAATAGTAGAATATCAATTGAAATTTATTAAATATTTTTGTACGTTTTTCTACATTTTTAAATACATTGATTTCAATTACAACATAGAATACAGAGTGTACAGTGCTCACTTAATATTATTATTTTTATTACAAATATTTGCACTGTAAAATGATAAACAAAAGAAATAGTATTTTTCAGTTTACCTCATACAAATACTGTAGTGTGATCTCTTTATCGTGAAAGTGTAACTAAAAATGTAGGGCTTTTTGTTACATAACTGAACTCAAAAACAAAACAATGTAAAACTTTCGAGCCTACAAGTCCACTCAATCCTACTTCTTGTTCAGCCAATCACTAAGACAAGCAAGTTTGTTTACATTTACAGAAGATAATACTGCCCTCTTCTTATTTACAATGTCACCTGAAAGTGAGAACAGGCATTTGCATGGGACATTTGTAGCCAGCATTGCAAGGTATTTACATGCCAGATCTGCTAAACATTCATATGCCCCTTCATGCTTCGGCCACCATTCCAGAGGACATGCTTCTATGCTGATGACACTCGTTAAAAAAAAATGCGTTAATTACATTTGTGACTGAACTCCTTGGGGGAGAATTGTGTGTCTCCGGCTCTATTTTACCCACTTTCTGCCATATATTTCATGTTATAGCAGTCTTGGATGATGACCCAGCACATGTTGTTCATTTTAAGAACACTTTCACTGCAGATTTGACAAAACGCAAAGAAGATACCAATGTGAGATTTCTAAAGATAGCTACAGCACTCGAACCAAGATTTAAGAATCTGAAGTGCCTTCCAAAATCTGAGAGGGATGAGGTGTGGAGCATGCTTTCAAAAGTCTTAAAAGAGCAACACTCTGGAAACTACAGAACCCAAACCACCAAAAAAGAAAATCAACCTTCTGCAGGTGTCATCTGACTCAGATCATGAAAATGAACATGCGTCAGTCCGCACTGCTTTTGGATCATTATTAAGCAGAACCCGTCATCAGCATGGATGCATGTCCTCTGGAATGATGGTTGAAGCATGAACGGACATATGAATCTTTAGCACATCTGACATGTAAATGTAAACAAACCTGTTTGTCTGAGCGATAGGCTGAACAAGAAGTAGAACTGAGTGGACTTGTAGGCTCTAAAGTTTTACAGTATTTTGTTTTTGAATGCAGGTATTTTTTGTACATAATTCTACCTTTGTAAGTTCAACTTTCATGCTAAAGAGATTGTATTACAGTACTTGTATTAGGTAAATTGAAATACTATTTCTTTTGTTTCTTTACAGTGCAAATATTTGTAATAAAAATAAATATAAAGTGAGCACTGTATACTTTGTATTCTGTGTTGTAATTGAAGTCAATATATTTGAAAATGTAGAAAACAAAAACCACAAATATTTAAATAAATGGTATTCTATTATTGTTTTTACAGTGCGATTAATTGAGTGATTAATTGCGATTAATTTTTTTAGTCTCTTGACAGCCCTAATAAGAAGTATTCATGGGAACTTTGCATCTTGTAAATAAAGTGTTTCTATCTCCTAGAATAAATGTTTATAGCACAGAGAAATTTGGATTACCCGTCCAGTACAAATCCTACATCTAAAGTGTAGTGGATCAGAGATTAATTTAAGATGCTTTGTCTATCAGTATTTACTAATCTGTTAAATTCTACTCTCCTCCTTTCAGTCTTTCACTGTAATGTTGAGTGCAGGAACATTAATCATTAAATGATACTAATGTGGGTATCAATGTAATCTGTGCTTCCATAGAAAGTAATTGTGAGAGAATTCATTCTAATTCAAGGTTAATTAGTGTACCATTAAAATAATGTGTTACAAAAGTTAATTACTTGCTGGGTCAAAAAGTGTGGTAAAAAGCTGAATGCCTAATGTCTGAGATCACATTTCCCGACTCAAAATAATGTTCTAAATCTGCCACCCTACTGAAAAATATCCAACATGAAAAGTGAGAGAGATTTAGTCACTGGTGTCTTCCTATCCCCCTTCTACTAGTAAATTTTTGGCACGGTGTCCATGAAATCTGGCGCATGGCTCCTATTAATAGATAAGTGAGCTGCTCACTTTGTTCCCCCCTGCAGTGTTGGAACATATATGTCAAGGAATAGCCTGGGTTAACCCTATTTTGGTTTTGAAGCACCACAAGTGTGTTGGGTGGTACATGAGAAAAAGCAAGATGTTGTGAAAATGTCACAAGGCAGCATTATGATTTCTTGCTTTACCTCAGCATGAGTTTCAAAGATCCTTCTGCAGGCGTGTCACACGCCATATTAAATCTGGAGAAATTTATGTTAACAGGTAGTTTAAATTAACAGCTATAAAGTGTACACATTAAGCTGGAAGTACAAGTGATAGTCAGGGTAGAACAACTGCCATCTAAAAATATCATCTACTTTTTCTTTTGTTTAAATGAAGATATAAAAGATGCCAATTTATAACATCTTCTGTAGTTGATAGGAAATGTTTTAGTGCTATTCATTAAAAGGCTCTGTTATTGCTTTGGATGGATTTGGATTCTGTTCGTGTAGGTAACAAGATAACTGTTCCCAAGCTTAGTGGGAAGTGTGGCTATTGCAGTTAATAACACATGAAACCATAGCAGAAGAACTGTGTTTTGGTATCCAAATGTGAGCATTAAAAAAGAAAAAAAAAAGAGAGCGCTCACAGGCTGGGCAGTCCTGTGTTGAGATGGTTCTCCGAGATGAGCCTAAACCGAGACCCCAAAATAGAATACTCCAGATTTTGCAGCTATTCCCTATCCCTCTACAGGGCAAACTAAAACTCTGTATGTGGACACCCCCAAACTTTGGTGAGGTTCAGATCCAGATCAGGACTTCATGGCACAGGCTCATCTTCGGTTGGGTAGGTTGAGATGAACAAAGGGTGATGAAATTGCTCCTAACTGATGCATGCAGCAGTGCCCTTGCTAGGGCAGAATGCTTAGACATCTGCACAGCCCAATTTTCCATCCACCTCCCTTTCAACATCTAGTGCTCTGACTGCCACTCTGGACCCCCTGCCCCTTATCCAATCCCAGCCCCCTTACCATGCTGCTCAGAGCAGCATGTCTGGCTGCTGCGCTGCGCGGCTAGAGCCAGACACGCTGCCATGCTGCCCTGCATGAGCAGACAGCCCCGCCGCCCAGAGTGCTGCCCACGCCAGGGTCTAGCCTCCTGGGCCAGGAGCTCAGGGGCCGGGCAGGATGGTCCTGCGGGTCGGAAGTGGCCTGCAGGCTGTAGTTTGCCCATCTCTGAACTAGTCCGTCCTTTAATTGGGTGAATTAAGATGTATATCTCAGGAAGAGTTTGAATGAGATAGAAGGGGAGAAAAAGGCTTTCGTGAAGTGCTCCTTTGACTTAATTCCATCTTTTGCCCCAGACATTTGCTTCATCCCTGTTAAAACTGGCATAAAGCTGAGATTTGAGTTTAATGTGGAAAAAACATTCCATTCTCTGAACATGACAGCCTGCCCTGCCCATAGCAGGGTGTTAAGCTGCATGTCAATCAGCCCTCAGAAGAGTGCTGAGCTACTTATTTCCCATGTCCTTAACAGACAGTTGGATTTGAACGTCCACTAGTGATTGCCACCCACCTTAGTGGAGGAGGAGTCATTACAAAGTCTTTCTGGGGGTGTGCCCCGTGACTTCAGATGCAGAAACGTGTGGGGAAGGAAGAGCTTGGAGGATTGTAGAGTAGACAAAAGAAAATATTAAAATAAATTTTTCTCATCTGATGACACCTTGTTGCCCAGATCATAGTGACTTAGGCTGAGAGTTGCAAAGCCACCAGGGGATTTGGATACCTAGTTCCCATTACTTTTAATGGGAACTGACGGTTCAAATGCCTTAGGCAGCTTTAAAAATCTTAGCCTTAAGAGAGTCCCTATTCCTGTTAAAGTCACTGGTGCAGAGTTAAACCCTAAAGCTGTCTAGAAGGCAGACCACATTCTGGTCTCTTGCTTTCTTCATTCTCCCTTACGTTTTTATTGACTTGAGCTGGAGTTTTGGGTGCAGAGGAGTGCAGAGTCAGGCCCTGTGTTGCCCTTCTAACAGATGGCTGATGCTCCTGACCTTGCTGTGTAAATGTACAAGTGAGAATGAATGGCACATTATAGGCCATTCTGATTGTGGTTTTTTTAATGTTCAATTTTTAGTTGTTTGTGATATCCAGGGTTCCAGCAGTAGGACTTTGAGTCTCTTTACAATAGCTTCAGCTGACTTCATTCTTTTTCTTTTGGATATTTCTAGGGCAGGGCTTTGCTCCACTGGGCATGTGACCGAGGACACAAGGAGCTGGTCTCGGTACTGCTACAGCATGCAGCCGATGTTAACAGCCAGGTAAGGAAGGGATGGAAAACTTGCTTTTTGATGGTGCATGGTGTTGTATCTTTACCAGACACTTCATACTTTGTCCCATCAGGATTCCAAAGCAAATTCTTTCAGAGTATTGAATATGGAGGAGGCCACCTAAAGCGATATATGTGAGACGAATATACCCATTAAAAACAGTTTTCCATACAACCAAATACAAAAACACAGTGAACCTTTTCAGTTGCAAGATGAAATTTCTTCCTGCAATAGTGTCTTTCACTTGCTGGTGATCAGTTCAAATCTGACTTGGGTAGGCGAGACCAGAGATATTTCCTATTACTAGACGTTTGGTGGCTTGGATAGAATGACTTGGTAGTCTCTAAAAAAGAAAAGGAGTACTAGTGGCACCTTAGAGACTAACCAATTTATTTGAGCATAAGCTTTTGTGAGCTACAGCTCACTTCATAGGATGCTGTAGCTCACGAAAACTTATGCTCAAATAAATTGGTTAGTCTCTAAGGTGCCACTAGTACTCCTTTTCTTTTTGCGAATACAGTCTAACACGGCTGCTACTCTGAAACTTGGTAGTCTCTGTCCAGTTCCTTAATATCCTGTAGTTTCAGCAGAGCGTCTGAAGACTGGAGAGTGAACTAAAGAAAATTCAACTGCAGGAAGAAACCTGTTTGCCAAACGGTAGAACACAATAGAACATTCATTTATTAGAAGGTACATTTCTTAAACAAAGCATTCTAAAGGGTGCTTCAGATTATGTTTTAAATTTGACATTGTTACAAGTTGGATATAACTTTATAATGTAGATTGGATTTATAATCCTGTTGTAATTAAGGGTTGAACCTTGCTAGCTGTCATCATGTTCAGAAATAATTGTCAATCATGGTTCTCCCAGAACCATGATTGACAGTTGTTTTCCAATATGGTGGTTGCTTGCATCATTTCCCTGTCTAGTCTGTGTGTGTGCGTGTGTGTATTTTGAGAACTGTGCTAGCCCAAACTGATGATCTTTCAGTATCCCAATAAGTGCTTTGGAAATACTTCACATATGTCGCAGTAGTGCAATAGGCTATCCTGTAGGTTTTTTGACTCAGCAGTAACATTGTGATGGTGGAAGTAACTAGGTTAAGCTTTAAATATGTTTAAAAAATGTTTAAAATATTGGTACAAGCCCTACTATGGACAGAGCCGTGAAAAGGGTACATATTAAGAGAATTTGCTTGGTTCCGTTGAAATCAGTGGGAAGGTTAAGGCAGGGACCTGTGGTTTTTTGAGCATATGATTCCTAGGTTTCTGTTATGCAGACAATTTGAGGATTTTTTTCAAAGATCCTTTGTACACCTTTGGAAAAAAAGGTAGATTTGCGGAGGAGGGGTCAGTAATTATACTGAATGATGCTGGAGTTATGTCCATGATTTCCCTTGGTCCAAGATAAGACTGGACACCACACCTGCTATTCTAATCATGTGAGATATGTTAGTCTGTGAATGTTTGAAAATAGCATGATTTTGAGAGTGGGAGAACTGGGATTACATGTTTGCCTTTGTATTTTACCCTGTGACCCCAGGGGATATCTGGTGCTTCGAGTTCTGGAATAACGGTCCCTGAAAATTCATCTCTTTCTGATGGTTGTATCTCACATCTCTTCATGCACCAAGAGAGTCTTTAGCTGTAAAAGTATGACTTGGGGAGGACTTCCTTAGCTGGAGGAGAATAATCTGTATTTTCTCTGTACTATCATTTTCTATTACTTTTTTCTCCTTTTTTTTAATGTATTACACACTTTTTCTAACCAAATTATTTTTGTCCAGTAACAAAAGTTTAATAATAGCTATAGAAAGAAAATCAATCTTCGATTTTTTCCCCCCACCAACGTAATAAAGGAGACCTTTTTTTAAAGGTCTTATTTTGCACATAGATGTATTCTCAGAGAAGGCAGACAATTCTTATGTTTTTATTTTATTTTCTCTCTCTCCTCAGCCTTCTATAAACTGTGATAACATTTTCAGGATTTCATGACCCAGTGTTTACTTTTTACATGGACCTTTTCCCTAAAGGAAGTACTGTCTAAAACCCAGGATTATGGGGAATTCTTTGGTGGAGCAACCAAAGAGATAGAAAAAAAGTTATGCTTCCAAATATGTCATAAACATTGAAGCACGTGCTCCTATATATTACCAAATGCACTGTCAGTTAATGTGTGGGTTGTAAAGAATTGGGGGTTAAGTATAAGGGAATCTCTAGTGACTTGCATTAGTGGAGCTATTATTTTAAGATGATGTGCTAACCCTGGAAGTTCACATTCCAGACTACACATAGCTGTCAGTCTGCCAGGTTCCAGCCTGGGGGACAGGCTTTGTAGAAACCTTGTACAGTACCCTACATGCCTTGAGATATCTTCCTGTTTCATTCAGACGTGCAGCAGTGTTAAATGCAGGCAGCATAAGACATAGATTTGGGAGCATGAGAGTGACAGCAACAGGGAGTAGAGGGGGAAGCTTATATGATAGATTTTTTTTTTCCTTTTTATTTTTTGTCTGCAGTGTTTTTAATATCTTTCTAGGATATTAGAAAATAATACCCCCCTCCTTAGCTGCTTCTGTGCTTTTTCATTAGGCAGGCACTGTATGTTTTTTTCCCCTCCTGTGTTTCTTATGTAGCACCAAGGTTATAGTATAGGGGTTAGAGCATGGGGGGACTGGTCGCTGGGACTCCTTAGTTTTACTGGTTCTAACATTAATTAGCTGGGTGACCTGGAGCCAGGTCTCCATTTTTCCTTTGTTTTTGTTTTCTAAATGTGAACAATAGCTATCTTTGTAAAACACTTTGAGATTTCCGGGTGCTGTATAAGTGTAAATACTGTAATTGTTTTATTATTTTAGTACATACACCGATGTATTTGAAGCAGGTAAGTGGGAAGAGACTCCATGGTGCTGTTTGGTCCTGCAGTATGCACAAAGCTCCTGGAGTGCAGTAGTAGATTGACTGTCCTTTTTAAACAATGATGCTGTGGGTTTAAAGAGGCAGTTCATTGCTGTCCACTGAAAGCCTGCATCCATTGAGTTCTTTGATTGTCCATAATTAGCTTTAATAGTATGTTTGAAAAGAGGTGGTAAGTGATTGACATAGGGGAGGGGGGTGCAGAAACTCAACAGACTTCCCTGCTTTATGTTGAAAAGAGACGTTTATGTAATCAAATTACCTAAATCCTCAGAGCCAAAGGCCATTTCTAAGTGGGTGGTTGGGTGGTGTTTTGGAACTGTGCTGGAAACACCCAGAACCCAGAGATCTTTGCAAAGGCAGCTTCCCAGTGGTGAGACATTCTGTTTAGAAAAATCTGTATTTATTGAACAGTGAAGTAAAGGGGAGCCTGTTCTCAACATTGTAGTTGGCCTGTGTTATGCAGGATGTCAGCCTATCATCATAATGTCCCCTTCTTGCCTTAAAATGTATGAATGAATGAATCTGTTGATGAATGAATAAATGTTGGTGTTTTTCATCCATCTGTGAGTAAAGTGAAACATTCTATTTTTATTGAAACAGTCATGGCTTCCTTTTTGTAGGGTATTGTTGCTTGTAGAACGTGTTCTTTCTAGAACAGAGCTCTCAACATGGGGTTGCAAACAGGTTTCAAGAGATCATAACCACCTTGCTGTTCCCATATCCCTAATGGGAGAGGTGTCTTGGGGAGGTCCCAGTATGGAAAATAGAGTCCCTTGGAGTGGAAAAGTTGAGAACCACTGCTTTAGAGGATATCTTGCCTTGTCTTGTAAAAATAAGGAAAATGGAGATATTTGGAAAATGGAGATTTTGTACATATGAAGCATCTCTGCTGGAGGTCAGACCTGACTTGCCCTCTTGTACATGGGATGATGTTGTTTTAAAGCATATAGGTTTTACTCTTGTTCAGTTTCAAGAATTAGGTGAACTCTGATCTAATAATGGACCAAATGATAGAGAGCATGACAAACAGCTTTTTCATGATGGTAACATAAATGCAATAACAGCATTGGGGTTTTGCTGTTCAGCTGATATATTTCTGTACTGGGCAAACACTGGCTATATTGAGTTCTGAGAAATAGTATGTGTGTATGCTGTCACATAGAAATCAGAGGTTGTAGACTCACTTAGGTTAGTGGGAGGAAGCAAGATGAAGATCAGGCATGAATCTGTTAACACAGCAAAAATTCTGTACTTTTATCTAAAACTCCATTAGAGGATGGGTTGAATCTCATTACATGAGCTCAGGTAACATCAGGTTGTGTAAAATTATCCCATACCAGAATCTCAGCTTTTGAGAAGCTCTGCTCCTTATAGTGTTCAGTTCTAAACTGGGTCCTAATCTGAGCTACTGACTAGGAGGCTTTATGCGCCTTTATCTGCCAGCTTTATGTCCTTCTCATTGACTTCATCATCCCATCATTTTCTCCATAGAGGTGTTTGTGTGTTGGAGCTATTAACCAATCTGTTCTCTTAGCTTTCTCTAGTCGGCAGGAAGTTAGGGGGCAGCAACACCATCCACCCATGAAAAGCCAGGACACACCAAAACAGGTTACCATACAAATCCATCATTAACTCATGTTTTTCAGGTTCTCCATTTAATTCAGTGTAAAACAGCAATACCGTGTTTTGCCACTGTGTGATAATGTGAGAGGCTGAAAGTCAGCAGCATGCCCGCGTCCATTCTTGGAACACTAGAGAAGTGTTCTCATGAGGGAAGAAATACATTGGTTTCTCTGTAATGTAATAGGAAGGAGAAAGGAGGGAATCAGCTCTGTAGAATGCACCATGCAGTTGATTTTTGTTTTTTATCTGGACATTTATACTATGGAATTTGAGGCTGCATGTAGGTCTTCAGGGAAAGGTTTAATGTACTCAGAATAACCTTCTGGGTCTATCCTTTGGTGTCCAGTCCCCTTGAGCTTCCTCCTCCTCACTAGTGGAGGGGATTGCTCTTTCTCAAACCCAGGATAGTTAAGACAGAAATTGTCTTCCAGTTCTATCCCATGTTACAT